TGAACTCATCCAAACTTTCATTCCACCTCTAGCGTCCAGTTCAAATAAGAAGGGATACCTTATTCTTGGAAGGGAAGTTTTCAAGTAAGACGAAAAATTTTAAAATTGGAATGACATTTTTAAAGATGGAATGAAAATTTGAAATTTAGAATGTTATTCTACTGTAGAATGATTATTTCATTTTTGGAAATTTTTCTGTTGATTTACTATAGAATGCAGGGTTGCCGGCGTTTGGGACGGGCCGAACGCGGAACAAAAAAAAAAAAAAAAAAAAAAAAAAAAAAAAAAAAAAAACAAAGTTTCCAAAAATTCTGAAAAAACAATATGTCATGCAGAAGAATAAACTAAACAACATTTCCCCCAACACTACATCCAAATTCCTTCCTTGATTTGAAATAAAAATAAAATACAAAAAATAAATAATATTAATGAAAATAAGAAAAAATAAAACGAGAATGAAATTATTGCGTGGGCGAGCAAGTTTTTGACACCGCCATCTCTGGCGATTTTTTATTTTCTTTTGGCTTTGTCAAATGCCATGAAATTTTAAGAATATGTATCTTACATAACAGAGAACCTACTAATAAAGTTTAAAAAAATAATAAATTTTTTCACGCCCTGAAATAAAGGGAAAATAAAAAGTGAAAAGAGAAAAAAAACAAATTAGTAAGTGGGAAAGCAAATTTTGACACCACCATCTTTGCTGATTTTTCACTATTGTTGAGCTGGACAGAATGACTTTAAAATTGAAAGACAGGTAGCCTACGTAACAAAGAACTCACAAAAAAACAATCAGAAAAAAATAATAATTTCTAGGTACCAAAATAATTTTTTGCGGGGTCCGAACCCCTTCGAGTTCGGGCCCCGTACGGGGACCCGAACGCCCGAACGTTCGGGGGTCAGCTTAGGGGCCTCTGTACGTTCGGCCTGGTAACTTYGATAGAATGAATATTTAATTCWGGRAAAWWTTTCTGTTTTAGGGGGYWGGAATGGGAGGAGAGGTGGGTGCTGTTGGGGTTTCTATCGTYAGAGCTATGTGGAAAAGTGGAYACTTGGTACATTGCACATGTAATCAAAGGTACAATGAAAAWWTTTTCATAATTAAATAACCATTCTATAGTAAAATTGCAATCTAAATTTTAAATTTTTATTCCATTTTAAAAAATGTCATTCCAATTTTAAAATTTGTCATCTTACTTGCAAACTTTCATAGGGTATCCCTTCTTATTTGGACTRCATGCTAGAGATGGAATGAAAGTCTGGATCAGTTCATGAAATATTTTAATTGAACTGCYATTMTAAGTAAGGATTTTSAGTCATAAATAGGTTAATCCAATCTAAATAAGAAAATATTTKTTATAGTKGAATGAAAATTTAATTAARAAAATTYGTAACTCGTCCAGTCCATTCCATCTTSAACAGATAGATGTAGTTGGAAGGGAAAACTCATATTTAGACGAKAACTTATCAAATAAAACTGAAAATTTTAGAATTGAACGAACATTGGAATGATAATTTATTAATATGAAGAATTTTTTTTTTATGGAATGTTTTTTCAACTTTCATTTCTCGTGGGAATTTTTCTGTTGTATAATAATGCAGATTATTTGGGCAGATAGAAACAGAGCTCGGTTCGAGAAGCGGCCTATGTCGGATGTGGAGCTGAAAGGAAGATTTAAAAAATTTGTGAAAACAGCGATCCGAGTGGACTAGAGAAGAGTGGTAAAGTTGGGGAAAGGATCCTTGAACCAACTCAAATGGTTCAAACAAACCTGGGCAAGGCAGGGGAAGCTGACAGCAGTATAGCCAGATGCAAGATTCGCTATATCTAAATGGCTACTTGAACTCCACAACACGGGATATTATATTAGATTAGGTTATATTAGATTACATTAGAGGAGATGAGATATTTGAAAAGGAGAAGGGAGTAATGAGTCGATAATGCTGGAAGAAGTAAAGTAGCAAGGAAGTTAGTAGGAGACCAGTTACTTAGATTAAATACAAGGGCAGTCGGTTCTGTAGGGTCATAGTGGATTAAGTAAGAGAGTGTCACGATACGCGGACGGGGTCCAATGGGCTGCAGTAGTCCCAGGGTCGAAGTAGGGCCAATAGTAATTGTACTAGCTGATAAAGGCAGGCTAGGATAAGATATTGTGAGTAAAGGCTAGTGAGGAAGTTACAAGAAGAGAGAAGTTTCAAAGTGACATTAGTGCTCAATAAGCGAAATCGGCTGAGGCTGCCGGGATAACTCCGGGTTAATTTGTGAGGTCCCTGGCTTCGATTGTCTTGAGAAATATTAATAAAGTGAATTTTCGAAAAAAAAAAAAAATCCTCACGGAATCGGAGATAAAAAAGAAAATAACAAAATCACACTAAAGAACCCCCCTTTAACCCCTCTTACCCCCTTAAAAAATAATTCCTACCCCCCTTTCCCCTCTTGACAACCAACTCTCAAAAAATGAAACGAGCCCGGATTTGGGTTGCTCTGGGAAAGCGCAGACAGACAATTTTTTTTTTTTTTTTTTTTGCACCCCCGGGTACCCAGGGCGTCAGACCCCCCCCGGGCGCCACACCCGGGTGCCCGGCTGTGCAGGCCTGGGCAGGCATGAAAAACTTCCTAGAAAGTACGCCCATAAGTTGAGATATATGCCAAAATGCCCCTAAAAGAAGTGTGGGAAAATGTTTGGGATGCCCCTCCTAGAGTCCTAGGCTCTGATTTCCATTCATTTGTGGTATGCCCCTCTGACGGCGGACTTACCCTGGCGCGCTCCTTCGACAACGATTGAAGTTTCTAAAAAAACCCTGGCCGGGCCTTGCGTGGTTTGGGCCTGAAATATGCTCAATATGCCCCTACCGGTACAGCTTCCTAATTTCCAGTATGCCCGCTAACTCCCCTCCTAGGGCCAAGGGAACGGTTTCGAGTGCCACCAACTGCAACAGGGGCATGCTGGAAGGTTGTACCCCTCACTGACAGGGGCTTGCAGGAAACTTGAGTGGCCCCAGGGACTCTACAGGGTAATTTGGGCTTCAGAGGGGCATACTGCAACTAAATCGAAGTGGGAGGGGCATTTCAAACATTTCCCCTAGAAGTGAGCAAAACATTGTGAAATACCCCTGGGCTAGGAGTCCGTTTGACCCCCCATCTTTGCAATATACCCCTGCTGGGCCTCGTCCAACTTTTCCGTGCAAGATGGCCAGGCCCCAACAGCAAAGTCTGGATGGCAATTTTTTGGCACTGGCCTGAGAGGGGCATAAAACAATGAATTTGGCCCAAAAGGGAATTCTGCTCTACCCACATCTTGAAGAGGCATTSTAGCATATATCTCAACTTATATGCTATTTCGCAAATTGTCCCTAGTCTTTTTGTCGAAAAAAGTCTCCCCTTGTTGCCTTTCCTTTTCTGTTCTATCTTTTTTCCTCGGTCCTGGTAGACTACAGCTTTCCYCCGAACAAAACGCAACGCGGGTGTGTTATTTACGAATAGAAAGCACCGGGTACGTTTTATTTGTATTCAACCCACGTGTGTTATACTACGGATATAGGTATCAACTTTCGAAAACGCCCCCCCCTCCAAAAGAAAGAAGAAGTATATGCCTTGAGCAGGTACCTTCAGTCTTCCCGCAAATAGGACCTTCAGGTAAGGTATACACACACACACACACACACACACACACACACACA